TTAACACCCTGGGATTAATTTAAATAATTTATGAGGAAAGGAAAACAGTTTTCCACAGACTATACAGTGAGATGTACAATCTGTAAGATATGGAGATATTAACATATATGAAAGTATAAATCTTCTAGTTTCTAGACTTTATATCATAAATAGTTGGTGGTAGATTTCGTCAACAGACGACGTGAATACATGTAGTTCAGTAAATTGAAACTATTTTAGGTAGTTTCCCTGACTTGGTATTGCTTCACTGTAGTTTCCATCATAGCGGCATATCTAAGCAAAAAGTGTGTTAACAAAGCAGCAACTGATCAACGTTTCTTGGCGATATCGAATTCCTCAATAGTCTAACCACACAGTCTTGTTTAGAACAGAATTATGATCCATTATTTGTTGTGATATACAGTTTGCTACGAAGTCACTATGTCACAATCTTTAGCTCATGATTTCTTGCTGAAACAAGTTTTTTATCATCACTTGACGGCAGCGTAGTTTATAGCTGTATATCAATACTTTTTTTATAACAGTCTTAATTTGTTCATTAATTTTATATCCTAACTAATAAAGATATTGAGACTTAAGGGAAGGTTATCAATGGTTATACACTGAGTCATTCCGTATGACTATAACTAATCCTGTAAAGTTAATTATTTTAGAAGGAAGTATTGACCAAGTATATTGATTTTTCCATGTATTGATTCACATACGTATATTGATCTATATCTTGTGGAATATTAGCTTCATATACAGATACCTTGAAGTTGCCTTGTATGTAAAACTTTGGTTACTTATATGTTAGTGATTTATTTCAGCCTACTGGTTAACCTCAAAATGTTCGAAACAAGTGGTTTTGGGTTTCATTTTCAGTGGTAATAGTAATATACTATGAAATAAAGGTACATCCAGTTGAACATTCACTGATGAGGACGAAATCCGTCTTCTGGACTCTACTTCTAGCCAACACCAAATACGAGTGTATTTATTTGTTCAAACCATTTTCAAACTGAATAGTTTCAAAAAATTTTGGTCATTCGGCGGTATATGTGATTTTAATTGCTATTTGAAATTTATACTTCCTAATGAATGAGAAACAAAGCGTTAGTATTTTTGCTGGCATTGATCAATTGAATGTGAATCAATTTCTTTCTTTAAGTAATATTAAGTCAGATACCACATACTTATCGAATCCAATGACCTACACATGCCTGTTATCTTTATCAACTCATTCATTTGACAACCTAGAATTTCTTCATTGAGTAAAATCTAGATAAGTTGATGTTTGTAAATTCTAGTTTATTATTTATATTACTCTTCAAGCATTGGTTTTGTAAGGATTTTTTTGTTTGATTGCATGGAGGATTTCACAATGAGCTGACATCAGTTAGAGAACCACTGGAAAAGCTGGGAGTACTGGACAGCCGTTTCCTCCGTCCTAATTTCCGATTCTTCAGCAGAAAGCACCCACACTACGGGGTTCGAACCCAGGACCTTCTGGTTACAAGGCGAGCTCGTAGACCATTGAGCCACTGGGACCCGATCCAATGGTTCTTGAATTCTAACTTCTTCCAACTCATGACATAGCGCGATCACTTCGCAATGTCTTCTTCGATGAGTTACTGCCTCATCTCCAACCTTCTGTACCCTACTAGTCACGGCTTCCCACTAGAGCCCCAGGCCAACTACCTGATAAATAAAGCTACAAATATTGTTTTTAATACTGCCTAATGAATACTGATCACTGAATGAAAATAAAAGACGCCATTTGTAGTGTATTTATTTGATCCTAGTTAACTTCTAATACTTTTTATTAAAAAATAATAATAATCCTTCATTTTCAACAATTAATTGAATAAATCACTTTTAAAATGTGATTTTTTTTCACTGTCATTCAGTTATAATGTTGACGAATAAAAACAACATAATATGTTTAGCGTGAGTCGAACTCATAGTTTATGACAGTCAAAATTTATTTTAACTGTTTTTATATTAATCAATAATATAAATTTTATTTTCTATAATGATAAAATTAATAATACTGTTACTACTACTAATAATAATCCTTGATATAGCTTTGCGTGCATGTGCTTGTTTGTATGTCATAATATAGTGTGGATTAACAACGTTTCAATGAGTTCATTTCAATATTCAATCGTTTCTCACTGAAATTTTGAATCCATTCGTTATAAAATTATATCATTTATTTATTTTTATTCATTCATTCATTCAATAGTTTTCATGGAAATATATAAATATCGCCTAGATTTGTAAATGTTCAAATTGAATTTCAATCTGAACTGAAGTCATCATCTCTGTCATTATGTTAACTTAAATATTTGAAATGCAGTATATAATAGTGAATCTTTATGAACGTCTAACCTACATTACTCATCTTGTCAGAGCTAAACTTTTTTCGATTGCTTTTTATTCAGTACTTGAGATTGGCTTTTGTTTGAAGGCAAATTATTTTTTGTGTTACCCCGATTCAGAGTACTTTTTAATAAACTTTCTTTATTGATATCTTGAAATGAGTTAATACTCACGTATTTATAGATGAAATTTTCTTTGTCCCTTTACGTTCCCTATGGAACATAAGGCTTCAAGCTTGAGCTTTGAAGTCGCAGTAGCAGTGGTGCGTTGTACAGGGTTGTACAGGTTCCTAGCCCCATGCCCACCCTTCTCTTTTTTTTTAGGCTCACAACCGTCTACCGGAGCTAAAGGTGTGCAGCGGCTGACAGTTGAACTCCAGACCAAGTGCATGATTGGCAAGCATTCGATCACTGAACTACCTACCGACCCAGTTTTCTTTAAATTACATACATTTATTAATGTAAGAGTAGAATTTGAGCACTGTAGTATAATACTGTTTTGTATTAGATAAGTTAATTTGATATAACGCATAGTGATATTACACTGTTAATAACTAGATGACGTTTGGAGTAAAATTTATTGTTTATTACCATATCAACGCATTTACATGACTTCCTGAGTTACTTTCTATCATTTCTCACTCGCTCCTGTATAGGCGTTAAGTCATTTCAATCTCGTGTTTGGCTGTGACTCAGTGAATAGTATTTCGCTTTCCACCTAACAGTATTACTTTTTGATACTTTAATTCTGTCTCATCCTATTGTGTGATTACATTGCAGGTGAATGTGATGCAATGATTGAGGTTTTTCCAGATTAGCAGATTAACTTAGCAGATTAAATCATTCTACATCTAGCTAAATTTCTACGTTCCGATAGCCTAACTGACGCCGATCTACTAGTTTGATCTACGTGACTCACCTAACAATCATTACATGGTATTTAGTAAAGTATATTATTTTTCCTTAATGGACCTTTCGAGTCATTAAGCTCGACAAAGTTTGTATCTTAGTGAATTGATTTGTTTAAATGCCGCCTTAATTACAGCCTTATTAAGAATCTTACATAGGGCCTCCAATGTTCCTTCATTATACGGCAGTATTACAGAGGCTTTGAATTCCGTATTATTTGTATCATTTCCAGTGTTTGCGTTACTACGCTTGTTTTTCTTATGAGTCATTATACATTATGGTGAGTGATTATTCATTAGTAGTGTTTTCTTCATTTGTCTGATTCCTGTATTTAAATTTCCTGACTTACAAGTTAGGCTTCTCACTCGATTACGCAAACATTTAACTAAGCCTACCTTTTACTAATTTTGGGTGGGATGATTCAAAGTTTAAGTGATTATCCGAATATGCTAGAGCTTGTTATTAATTCTAGTACTTAACCCACCATCCTATTCCTACAGTCTAGTATACCCAATTTACCTTTCTTTTAAGTCGAAAGTAAAGTATATTCCACCTACTAGTGAATTGGTATGTATGGAGAAATTGAGGAGGTGTTTTTTATATTTCAAAACACTAAATGTGTCGGTGTCATACCTCCACCACAACCTAAGAGTATGATTAAACGTTCTAAGGGATTTATGTTTCAAACTATTCAAAAATGTCTTCTATTACTGTCTGTCTGTCTCTGTCTGGATTCAACATAGAACTTGGCACCGAAGTGCACCAGTTCGAGTTGCCACCTTCCAAATAGCCCACAGAGGTAGACAAGAAGATGAGTGAAGAGAATTAATAGAGTTTGACAAGTATAAGAGTGAAACAGAATGGGTAATGGTAGAAAGGAATATGAAAGATTACAGAGACTGAATACATCTGCGCTGGCCATTGACAACGATCACTTTGAGCCATGTCACCTATTGTCTCCAGCCATTGATTCTTAGAGTCAGTCCCGAGGGCCCCAACCCGGGAGTCTGCATCTCCCTACCTGACTCAGTTTAACTGTCAAGGATTTCATGGATTGATGAGGCCATGTTTTTGTTTGGCCACCACTGGCTCTTTTCCAACCTGAACCTATATCAGCTAGCAAAGCCCGTCGGGGGAGGCGGTGGTTAGGCATGCCCACCACGTGACCTAGCCATCTTAGTCTATGTAACTTTATAGCCTCGTCGATTGATTTTCCCTCTTTGCCCAACACTCTACGCCTAACATCAACATTACTTATCTTGTGAAACCACCTAACGTGAGACAGAGATCGCAGACATCTATGATCGAAAGCAGTCAACCTTTTCATGTCTTCAACGCGTATAGGCCATGTTTCAGAGCCATAGAGAAGGACGGAGCGAACTGCTGAGCAGTACACACGTCCCTTGGTTGATAACCGGATGTCACGCCTACGCCTACTGGGAATTATTAGTGATCCCACTGATCTTTGCTTTGTTCATTATTGAAATTTGAATATACTAAAGGTGTAGCATAGTTGAACACTTAATATTATCCTTTTAACTGAGACCTGAGTCTTATTTTTGAGTTGAAAGTCAACGTTCAATTCATTACTAACTGCTTTTAGAGCTGCAGTAGTTGGTGTGTAAACTTGTCACTTTAAAACTAATCATTTTTATTTTTATTCATACATTATTTTGATTGAAATTTACTCTACAAATTGTCTTTTCTGTACTTCAAAAACGATTTTAGCAAAATATCCAGTACTGTGGTTTCGTTGTTCTCCTCTTCTTATGTTTTTGAATGGCCGAACTTCTTCCCTGATTCACCTTTACTCTATCCACCATCATTCGACTCCAGAGTGATACTTTATCCATCGAATAAAACTTTACGTGATTATCTCAGTTGGCGTCAAGTTGACTGTAAGTTTTATTAATTACTTGTTTACTTTTCTTTTATTTTCATATAATAATTTATGCTTGAACAAAATTGCATTGAGTTTTGGTTGACTGGTGTATATTCTTAAAACATCTACCACCTAGTAGTTTATATTGTGTAAAACATTTCAGTAAAAAAAATGGAAGTTATTCACTCAAACAATAGACAACCCAGTTCACCATAGGGTGGTGTGTGGATTAGGCTACTAACCGTAGCAATTCAGTCATGTATCATTTTGTTCCCCTTCATTCGATCAGTAATAGTGTTATCAAATTTTATTGTGGTCTATGGAGACTGACGTCCACGACAATATATGTGTATGAAAATCTTGACAATGACCTGTGGAGTTTGATTAGCCTTGATCAGATTATATCATCTGTGACACTGGTAGTCTGTGCAAAAGGATGGAGTTTATTGCTCAGCAATAATATAACTTGTCTAACTATATGATTATAAAGTATGGCTGTTAAAATTAGAGAATTTGAGAAAGCTTCGGGTTTTGAACTACCGTTTCTGCAGTGTAATCGAACTGATATGTAAACAATGGACAATTTAGGTCAGATTATTAGATGTAACCATCGAAAAGATCTCTTTCGGTAATTGTTCTGAAATATATAACCGAATGTCTAAACCGAAAATTAATCGTAGTTGATTAGGGTTATTTTTTAATACATACTGTGGGTGAAATTTACTTCAGAAATGAATTAAACGTGTTAATTGTCACGAAATATAAGTGTTTTATGGATTAAATAAAACCTTGTGATTCACAGTAGGACATAGGTCACTTCATATGGGAGTAAATTCTCACTGTTTGACTTCTATATATGTATGGCATACACTCGACACTCACGGGAATTTTGCTTCAGTTACTTAGAAATCTCTGGGATTCATCGGGTTCTTTGCTTCACAACACTCTGGTTTGTGTGTTTTGTGTATATCTCTTGAGAGTTGTTTTGCCAAAAGGTCAAGAGATGTAAGATATAAAAAAAGCTGTTTTACATCGATATGAAAATCAAAAGATCCAACATGTAGTGCGATTGATTATACCTTGTAGTTTATAGTAACAGGTGATAGCTTTGAGCTTAAATGATTAAACACACACGCACACACACTTAATACTGCTCAATTGAAGTAGACTGGTAAATCTTGTACAAAATGAAATGAATACTTTAGATTTCATGATGAGAAGTATCCAACATCTAATATCATATTTTGAGTGTGTCATCAATTGTTTATCTTTTTAAAAATTAACATGAAACATGGAACATAAGATAAATAAAAGGTCATCACAAGTTTTGTGATGAATACATTTATAAGCTAAGACTGTTTCACCTATATTTCAAAATCTGTGTTAATAAACACTCAGGTAAAGTTGTGAACTTTGACTGGTGTATAGTAGTTAAACATAAACATGGAGATCTATTGTATTGTGGTAGATGAATCATGCATAATGAACTTATCTGACAATGAAGATCAATAAACCAAATGAGAGAGGTAATGGTACATCTGTTATGATATCAAAACATAGTTTTCCGAGGAAAGTTCAATGTGATGACGAATTGTTTTTGAATGCATAAAGGTTGTGTAAACTTCCTAATTGATAGGGTTTCCAAAAACTTTTAGGATACACCCCAAACACGTTTTATGGATAGGTTTAAAGATCGTGTAAACATCAGTTTTATGTCCTGTCTCTATAATATGTTTCGCAATAGATGGACTAGGTTTCCTGTTCTCACTACTAATGGGTTCTGGGGATTCTATTTGCTTCTGAAGCCATTTAGGAATATGCTGTGAAGTCAACCCTTACTTGCAGAGATCGATGAGTCTTCCCTATGTACATGACTCAGATAAATTGCCTCTTATTGCTTTGTCTAAATCCATAAAACGAATTAATTGTTTTAAATTAAAACTGAGTTTGTAGACAAAAGTTATAACGAGAAGGAGTATTTACCAATAATATTTATTGATTTTATTTTATTATAGCTTGAGTCTGCACAGTATTTTTGATACAGGTATGAAATTTTCGGCATGTGATATCGGTAGTTCAAATTTAGCAGGCCGACCATTGATATCGGGTGTACGTCAGCCGAGGACTGAACTCCGGACCATATACATGGTTGGCGAGCGTCCTAACCGCTGTGCCACCGACCCACATGGCTTAGGCTGTAAAAACGCTGGTTTTTAAACTTCTATCATGAGTATTTCTACTTTCTCTTCATTAGCATTAGTTGTTTGTCTGTAGTTTAATTTGTCAATTAAATCTTCAAGTTTAAAAATCAGAAGAACTAAAAATAAGTAGGAATAGCTTCTCATGTTTATCATAAAACTGACTTGTAAATTTCTGTAATTTCTTTCTAGCAATCTTCTCATAAGTGACTTTGAATAATAAATACTTGAAATATTTTCGTATCGTGTAAACACTTAGATAATTATCCATCTTTGTAAACACTTTTGAGTAAATATTTTAAAAAATATTTGAAGTTCTTTTCTTCTTGTCTATTAAAATAAAATATCTACTCCAATATTACACGTACTATCATAGATTAAAGTATATAAAGACATTGTTTACCTCAGAAGCTACATCAACTTTCTGTTGGGTTAAGACATGACACAATCTTGGTATAGATAGGCAAATGCAGACTTAATTCATGCATAGATCCATATGCTTATTTCATTCCATTTACCTTTTTTCATGATATTAAATTATTATTTTGCCTTTTTGTTATTGTTCAATTCAATATGCCAATGTTGATTACATCAATTTAACTACCTAACTAAAGTCTTTGAAATTTTCAGAACTGATCACTTATTTGAAACATAACTAATGACTTTTTCCTTATTGTCCTCATGTCTCATATACTTGCCTTTACTCTGATTGAACATTAAGCAGTAACTAATGTCACGCATCTGGTCCTTCGTTTGGTACAGACTGAATTCTATCAGTCAAGTTTGCAATATGGCCACCATACCAGGTGACTCACACATCATAGTACACTCTGCACTGTTGTTAGATGGTTGGAAAATAAATAGATTCGTCCTCATAACTGTAAAAAATGTTTGAACCATACCATTTTATAAAACAACATTTTAATTGAACGACAGACACTGTGTACTTCATCTTTACTTTATAGAAGTCCTAGAATGATATATACAAGTCTCTAAAAGCCTTCATTATGAGTAACTATAAATTATTTTGACTCTACATTTGTATACACGTGAGCTTTGCTATGTTTTAACTGTACAATCAATGATTTTCTTTACAAAAATAAAAGGTGGCATGATCGAACCATAAAATAACCTAAATAGATGAAACCTATGTGAAATAGTTTGTTAAGAAACACACAAAATATTAGTAGAACTCAGTGACATAAAAGAATAGATTCTAGAGTAAATCTACATATATTATATGAATCTGATTCAATGTTTACACACACTGATCGATATTCGTATTGAATTGACTTTAATAAAAATGACCCATACTTAATGAGTCATTTTAGTGAGTGATTTTGCCTAATCTATTTCCTATCCTGTAACAGAGAATTTTTAGTCCGGTTATTTCTTCAGATTGTTTTACATTATATTATATACGGTCTTGTTGTTTGAAAATTAAGCATAAGAAGTAATGATATTTCGAAACCTTGAAAAACGTTCATTTACCAGTACATTATATTTTTAGTAGCGTTACTTATAATATTCTTAATATACCAGGGTCTAACCCGTATCACCTGCTAGCGCGACCAAACAAACTAACATTCATTAACAACTGCTCAGAACAAGGCCACACACTAGTCTGACCAATATGCATCTGTTAGTTCCTTCTGTTGATGCATTTTTCTGACGTATTCTAGACTAATCATTTCATCCATATGTATTAATCTGAACTAACAGCCTATTGTATTATTACACCCTAATTTGTATCTTCCAACTGCTGAATTAAAAAGAAACGTAAATTTACGTCATTAATTTATACGAAAAACAGTAGAAACACTGGTATCATGTTGATTTAACTAAAATATGAATGTGATTAGTCATTAGACAGCTTATGATGAAGATACGAATAGATTGATAGATAAATCTACAAATACCTTTTTTTTTGTCTACAAACCTAAATCCTTTCTTTCTGATGAAAGAAAATTCATCAATCACTTCATTTTAATGCATGTTAATGTTAATTGTTTGAGTACAAAATATTTGTGAATATTTGATTTCTCTTTCAACATTAGACTAAGACAGATACCGTTTCAGTCATATGATAACAGTGCCATTTACATGCATACGATTTGATTTAAATGCGTAAAGCGTATCTGTGATTTCTGTATTATAAAACATCATAATACTTTTTTTATGGCAGTAATCATTTGATATGGTAGTTTATGTATATATATTATTTTTGAGAAGCATAGTTATGCGCATTAATTGTTCACTGAAAAGATTAAGTAGCTAGTGTCAGTGTCACAGTCACCAATGTAGCTTGAGATTATAATTAGTAAGCTTGGAGGGGGGGAGGGGTAACTTACCTGCAAATACTTAAAGTCACAAAAATATTTTATTATCTAGCTTAGCGGTGTTTTAGTGGGATCTGAGCCTTAAGGAAGAACTTCCACATTATTTATCAGTACTCTTGAACTATTTCAAGTGGTTGTTGTTGATTCGTGACATTAACAGTCACCTTGTATTAATGCCTGTCATCGTGGTACTTAAAGTCATAAATTTTTGTGTATCAGCATATTGATAAATATTACAGCCATAGCTACTTGATCTTTTTGAGAAATCAGTAAGATTTCTCTTCAAGTTAACGCTATAGTGTGATTAAAATTAAAATGAAGTTTATAATCAGTTATATGAAACAGTATACCGCTTAATATTCTATACTTATAAACTGCCCGAGTTCTACTCATCAAGGTATGATGTGTGATTGTAACTTCTGAGGAGTTGTTTAGCCTGTTGTCGGGCTTAATTTTTGCCACCTCAAATCTAGTGAACATAAAGCCAATCAGTTATGCCTTCAATTGCTTAGCGCTGAAGTCTATCACTATACTGATAAATTTGAATATATGACGGTGAATCGTACGGGGATATGCCAGACGAGCATGAAATTTACTAGCTGGAAGTGTTCAGACATCAAATGAAATTGTTTCTCCTCAAATCATATTGATTTCTCGAAATATATTTCGTTTAACTTTCTGCGTAAGGAGGTCGAAACGAACTCTACTTTTACAGTTTGTTAATTCTTGTATTCTACCTATACTCCCTTTTTACTCCCCCTTAGTCTTTCCTGGGCTACCTAAGAAAGACTTTTTTTACAGTGTGAAGGGCACTATAAGTTGTTAATAGAGTAAGTGGGTTGCTGTTAAACCAACTCTTTAAAACTGTTGTGAATAGACAGTTGAACTCACGCAAGGAATTGGCGAATATCATCTTGTCAGACTCTGAGCACCTTCTTTAAACACAATTCTCTTCTTACATCTCATCAGGTAGAACTAGAAGCAGTTTATAAGAGATTTTATGCGTAGATGACTAAGCATAAAAACTTTACGATACCTTATTTGGCACACCTTTTATGTAATGAAGAAACCTTTAGGTTTGAAACTACTAACTTACTGAGAGACAGTAAGTAAATGTCCATCTTTATTCTTTCAATCATCAATACATTGTCAATACTTCTATTAACTCTTTATTTTACATCTATATTCTTTGACATAATTATCAATCTAAATGCCCTGTTAGTTATTCTCCTCCCATACCATGTAAATGTAAAAAGCAAATTAGATTCAGACATCTATAAAAAACAAAATAGTTGAGCAAAGAATATCCTTTTCGATAAATTCCTCTTCTGGCTCTACAATTATATATATATATGCTTTGCTGATATAGGTTCAGGTTGGAAAAGAGCCAATGGTGGCCAAACAAAAACATGGCCTCATCAATCCATGAAATCCTTGACAGTTAAACTGAGTAAGGTAGGGAGATGCAGACTCCCGGGTTGGGGCCCTAGGGACTCTAGGAATCAATTGCTGGAGACAATAGGTGACATGGCTCAAAATCGTTGTCAATGGCGCAGATGTATTCAGTCTCTTTAATCTTTCATATTCCTTTCTACCATTACCCATTCTGGTTCACTCTTATACTTGTCAGACTGTATTGATTCTTTTCACTCATCTTCTTGTCTACCTCTGTGTGCTATTTGGAAGGTGGCAACTCGAACTGCTGCACTTCGGTGCCAAGTTCTATGTTGAATCCAGACAGATATATATATATATATATATATATATATATATATATGTTAATATACATAGAATATTCTAGATTAGCAGTGAATATCAATATTTTTAAATAATATCGATTTGTAAAGTAAGATCAATGCAATTACAGTTCATTGAAGATGCTTATATAATAATAATAAAGATATAGTGGCGAATAGAATATCAACTAAAATTAGGAAAATTCCACAAAAATTCAAACCTAGATGGCCAAGGTAATGATGATAATGTCTGAACTAACTTCGTTTGGATGCACAAATTAGGCTTGTTAATATGGATTCCCACAGCTTCAGCAATATTTTTTAGTCGAACTTTTAAGGCAAAACTGAGATTCGTAGGTATATGGTAAATGACCCTGAAAGCGTGGTTAACATCAATCTTTTGTGTTCTGTATCCACAAGATGAGATAGAATAGCACGGCGAATAGATTTTGTTTGTCCTTTGCTTAACCACGCAGAGCGATGTTCGAAAATTCGACGAGAAACACGCTTAATTGTACGGGCTATGTAACTGGCTCCACAGGAGCAGTTAAATTGGTAGATACACTTGAAAAAGGCGAAATTAGGCAGTATATGCCGAAAACTCCACATTTTATCAAACGTACTTTTTGGCCTAAAGTCGTTATTATTATTAGTATTATTATTATTATTATTACTAGCTGGTGATTGATAGACTTCGATGAACTCATAACATTTGAAAGTTATGTTAAAATGTTTTCCTATGACTTTGTTATTGACAGTTTTATTGGTCATGTTTCTAATACTGAATATTTGGATCTTCAGTGTGTTAAGAACAAACGGACAATGGAGGTTGTATTTAACATGATTCAAAGTCATTTTTCATGATATATATGTGTATCTACTCTTCACTGTCTTTGAGGTTTTGAATATTTTCGGTAGTCATCAAATACATAGTTGTTTTGGCTTCCCAACTCATAATGGTCACTGTAGTGGTACACACCGTTTTTGTTTCTTTCTTAACTTTTATGATACTGTGAAGGATTTCAACACTAAATGAATAACTTTTGTGCACAATTCTCTCTTAGTTTGTCTGCTTGACTTATCATTATTCACAGCGCATAGAATAAAACTTATTTGTCGCTGCATTTGTTCCACTTCTCAAATACCAGAACTGAATAACCTGTTCGCAATATTTATAAAGAACAAACTTAACAAGTCGATTTCATGCAATCCTGACACATTTACTCAAAAGGTGTGACGCATTAAAATACAAATATCTACAAATAATAATAAGGATTTAATTCATTTAAACTTGATTACATGCTTTCACTGTAAATTAGTATAGTGTAGAATCCCCATTTTTGGAGTATTTCTATCTTATCGACCGGTTTATATATATAACTCGATTTTTTAACAATATGAATTCCATCTTAATTGTGTGTACATTGCTTAAAACTATGTTAAATTGATAAGTTCTTGTAAGAGAAACTGTGATCCTTCATTTTCTCTAAGCCAACAGCACTCAGAATCAAAAATTAGATCCGAATTTTGAACTCCAATGTGAAGTCAGTGCTACTATACGGATCAGAGACTTTCACTGTGCGTCATAAAGAGCATCTTAAACAAAGTACAGACCTTCATCAACAGCTGTCTTCGCTCAATGCTCGAGATCAGACGGTCGGCCAGAAAAGATCAGCAACACGGATCTCTGACAATCAGCGAACCAACCAGGAATCGATTGGGAAACAAATAGGCAGAAAGAAATGGAGATGGATTGGCTGATGGATACGCTGAGGAAACCATCAAGTGACATCACTAGACAAGCCATCGCTCGAGTGGAACCCGAAAGGGAAGCGGTGAGTTGGTCGTCAGTGCAAGGGTGACTTGGAGGAGGTCATGTGAAGAGGAGATGAGATCATGTGGGCAGACTTGGAGCGGGGTGAAAAAGTTGGCAGAAAACAGAAGGCAATGGAGACACGCGGCTGAAGCCCTATTTCCCTATAGGAATTAAAGCATATAATATATACATATATATATATATATATATGTTTTTCGAGCTTGACCACGGATTGATATCATTTAGAGAACCACTGAGAACGAGGGAGTACTGGACAACTGCTTCGTCCTAGTTTGGGAATCATCGACAGTACGTACTCACTTGGGTTCGAACCCAGGTCCTTCCGGTTACAAGACAAGCCCGTATATCATTCAGCCACTGAGACTCGATTCAATGGCCCATGAATTCTAACCTCTATCAGTCCGTGGGCAAACTAGGAAAGCAAACCAACTCTTGAAAGATATACATATATATATATATATATATATATATATATATATATATATAATTTTAATGCTTTACGTTCAGGTTCAAATGTGGTATCTGTCTCTTCGAATACTTTCTGCCATCTAATACTGATTACTTGTTATGTTGAGTACATTCGGCAGATTAAAATATTATCTAAAAAGAAATTGATTCATTGTGTTGTGTTTTTGCACATAGTAATTGCACGGAAAAAAATATCTAATTCTAATTCAATTATTTCATTTAAAAATTGTCCCAGAGTTTATCTATTCTATTGTTTTTAATAAATCCAACATTACATCATAACAATATATGATTGAATTATGCATCATAAAAAAGAGATTCATCGTTAAACTGAAAATAACGAAAAACAATATATTTGTTTTTGTGAATAATATTTATTTATAGGTCATGTGAACAATTTGTATAATACGTGTTATTGGAAACTCGTTCAAATTACTGGTCTAACTGGAACAGAAGCTGAAGAACGTTTAAGGGTAAGATATTCACCTTTTTCTTTCGAAAACTGATTTCAGTGAATAATGAATCTTTGTTGTATTTCAAGAAGTATTTAGAAAAAAATACCAGTTAAATATATATATGTATATGTGCGTCGGTGGCACAGCGGTTAGGACGCTCACCGACTATGCACACGGTCCAGGCCGACGGACTCCTTTACCTCGCTAAGCCAGAAATAAATCTGGTAAAGAGGAAAGGTTGGGCATGAGGCTCTAGCGACCCCATCCTGTAAAAATAAACAGTGCTATAGAAACTTCAAACCTCTAGCTTGAAGCCCTATGTTCCACTGGGAACGTGAAGGAATAAAAATACACATATTTCATCCAGTGACAGTACAGTCAGTTATATAGGTCAAACTAGTAGACCAGGATCAGTTAGGCTATAAAAACCCAGTAGTTCAGCTAGATCTAGAATAATGGACCCCACTAAGTGGAAGTAATCTGAAGAAAATCATAGCCATTGCAATGCATTCTGTTGCATGTAATCACAAAATAAAATGAAATAGAGTTAAAGTATCAAAAAGTAATACTGTCAGATGGAAAGATAAAGGCTAATCATCTAATCAACACTAAACACATGCAATGAAAATGATGCAGTTCCTTTACCGGATATATGGAAAAATGCAGTAAAAAAAAAACAGGAGGAAGTGAGACCAGATAGTTGTGTAAATGCATTGATATGGTTATGAGCAATAAATTGTGTTCTAAACACCATCCAGTAATTAACAGTTTATCCCTGTATTTTCTATCACATAAACTTATTTGATGTGGAATTTAAAACAAGCAACAAAGGTTAATAAAGTAGCATATAGTGGATTCATCAAATTTTGGTAGAACTTTTCAGCTGAATACTCTACACACGGGGATGTATATACTGTTGATAATATATTGGGAGATATAAGACTGATAAGCAAATAAACTGCATTAAATTAATCATATAGAACGATACTCGCGAATGTTTTCCAGGCCATTTTCAAATCGATAAGGGGAAGGGAGTATGAGAGATTAAAATTAAAATAAAATGCATTGCGATTCAATTACATCACTTGGATAAATAATTAATCATTAGAGAATATATTAAGAATTGCAAACAGACTAATGTCAATAACAATAATAATAATAATGAGGTAGAATATAGTGTTGTTAATAATAATAATAACAGCTAATAAATAACACGTATTACCATGCTAGATTCAAAGTGATGACCATCTCTTTTTGGACACAGAGACCTCGTTTATAAACTCGAATTGCACAAGCCTCTACAATTGCAAGCATCTTCCTGTTTCTTTGTCTGCTGACAATAGTGAATGATTTGACAGCGTCAATATCATGTCCATAGTCCAAAAGATGCTTTGTTATTCAAGTTTTAGGCACTTTGCATTCAGCTATTTTTAACCACTTTGGTTAATGCTCCATCATGAGAATAGACAATCGCCTTTTTGTACGACCTATGTATTTGCTTCCAAAAACATACTTGAATTGATATACGCAGTTTGAAATATCGAAGATTGGCGATTAATCATTCCCAGATTGTTTAAGCACTTGCTTGGTGGTTTTAAGGAAGACAAGTTTTGCGGCATAATAAGTTCTCTTGATAGCTTTATCGAGTCTCTGTTTGACTACCTTTTGTACATCATCTCTCTTGAATGGCAAATTGATATAGACGGATTTCTTCGGAAGTGTTTGGATAACTTTGCAGGGGCTCATTTCTGTAGAGTATTTATTAATGAACTTCTTTATTTTATGCTCACTTTTACTGTCCGAACAAATTTTCCGTGCTCTTTTGTGGAATTATATGTTACCATAACCCCCTGAATTCTACTTCCATATGCTTTTTATACAAGTGAACTTGACGAGTGAGGGATGCTTGATCAATTCGTGGATGCTATAAATTTCATAATTGCCAAATAGAAATTACTTCTAATTTGTGTCACCCTATCCTCATATCGGTGCTTGTTATTTTCAGTAACCTCAGAATAAAATTTTCAACTGTTTTTATATAGCTCCCAGTAAGTTATAACCGCGATATCAAACAAAATCAGTATTCCCTCTTTAGTCTGAACCTCAGTTATTCATTACTAAAATCGAAAGCCTCAGCATTAAATTATTCTAACCGATGGTTGACCGCTTTAGGTGAAAATGTGAATCTCAGGTTCTAGGTTAACCTTTCGCGTCAACAAACCATAGTCTTGAGAAAATGTTAAACATTATCAACTTTCAAATCTACAGATGCCTTCTGGATACCTGTAAACATTCAATACCATAAAAGAGTGACAGTATCCAGTCACGGAATTTATCACTCACAGAAAGCTCGATAGACAAACTTATCGTGGAAAATACCCATTGGAACATTAGATTGAAAAGAACAAGAAGTTCAGCAAAGATATCTTTTCGGCGATTTCATTTTCAAAAGCTGTATAATCTCATTTATATAGATTAGTTTACATGGATACAATCCTTATTTGTTTAATTTCACATAGTAACGAAGGTCATAATAATTTTTAACTTGATATGAAAGTTTGGAGGTACGAATATAGATTACAAGGGGCTTAGAGACAAGAATGCACAGGGTTAGAAAACAGTTACAACGTATGCAAAATTAATATTTGATAAGTGGAGAAATAATTTTAAAGGCGAATAAAAGGTGATAATTATTTTCAACTTGATATGAACTACAAGAGGCTTAGAGACGCCAGGGATAGAACGAATTACAGGTGTGGACAAAATGAGCATGGAAACAGATTGAAATCAAAATTTTCAACTTGAAATGTAAGTTAGGAGGTGTGAATATGGATTATAAGAGGCATAGAAGCAAAAAATTACACAGGATTAGAATATAATTGTAAAATGGTTATTCTAAACGGATTACAAGTGTGATAAGTAGGAGCATGGAAACAAAACTAAAATAACTGATTTGATAACTGAAAAAATAGGATGAACTGAATGAAGGCAAAGAGAGAAAATTATATACAGAGATAACAGAACAACAAAAAAGAAGGATAAGGGAACATATTGAACTAGGTCCATGGTAGTTGTAGAGGCTGGATTAGTTTCTTTTGAACACATAGCTCCGGCTTTTCGATGCATATGGCGAGAGCTTCCGCAGTACAAAGAAGTCGGAAACACACTGCCTTTGGTAGGTTTTTGTTCACTGTGTAAATAACTTTAAATGATGCGTCAGTTGAAATTCTGTGACAGGTATTGCCGAGATGTTCAGTTATTGCGCTTCTGATTGAACCAGCGCCTGCTCTTTGCAGCCATGCTGGATGATGTTCTCTAACACGTTTTGATAAGACCAATTTAGAACGACCTATGTACCTAGCTCCGCAAGAGCAGGTGAACTAATATATGCACATTGAAGTGGTCATATACGGAAGTCTGTCTTTCCCGTTGCTCCGAAGTAGTGGGCGGCTAGAGAATATCAATCTTAGAGTTGCTGCTGAAAAAGTCTTCTTCAGGGAATTGGAGATTCTCCTTTTAAGGATATCTGCTGCTACGTCTCCCCTAAATTCCAGATTCAAACAGAGTGTCTTCGTTTGCACTGAAGCGTATTCTTCTCTTTTTGGCCTTGGTTTCATGTTCTTCTCCACGAAACGCGGTGTGTATCCATTTTGAACCAGGATGCTTTTGAGAAATAGAAGCTCTTCTTCTAAACAGTCATCGCTCCAAATTCTTCTGGTACGGTGGGCTAGCGAGATGATGAGAGCTCTTTTACGGCTGATAGGTATCCAACTGTAGAAGTTTGTCAGTTGGCCATTCCATGTTGGCTTTCTATGGATAGATCCTTTGAGAGTTCTGTCATCTATTCTTGTCAATTGACAAACTTATATCAATTAAAACCTGAAAGATAACTTGGTTCATAAATATTAAAGTATTTCTGTATTTTCCTATATTTTAACTAGATGTATATAAATATCGATTATACTCTCATAAGGCCGAAATAAAGACTTATTTTTCATTGTGTTAATGTTGTGAATGCAGTGACCTCGGATTGTTTCTGGGCAAATTAGATATACTGTGCACTTTGACTTTCTATGTTGTTTTCCTTTTATGATGAAAATTATTGCTTTTCTCTGTCAATAATTTCAGTTAACCGTAGAACAATGTGTTTTTCTCAAATCTTGTGATTTGTATAAAATGAAGGGTCATTGTCATCTAGTTATAATTACATATTATTATTACTATCTTTCCGTTAGAGTTAGGTGACATTTTGAAACTTTGACTTAATAAAATCAATCCTCTTATCTAATGGGGTTATGTAGAATGTAAATGTGTGGAGCGATGACTCAGTGGTTTGCGTGCTCGACTTTTACACTCTGAGCCATGAGAGCCATCCACCTGTATTTTGGCAACTAGGCAGTGTCCTCAGTCCTAATACATTGGGTGTGGCTCACCGCCAACTGCATCGAAATACAGATGGTTGTTGGGTGACATTTCCGTCTAATTAGAATAAAGGTGTTATATTTGAGGTATTTTTACCATCAACAGTTGTTGTGCTGTGATGAAGAAAGCAAATTAGTTGATTCAGTTGTCAGGCTTCCTTAACTGAGTTGCTGGATTACCGTGTATTGAAATTCTACGTTTGCTCACTACCCTAGCAATCATTACTAGCTGGCTAAAAATTACTTCGGTGAAAAGCTAGACCAAGTTATGATATAACCAAATGGATTTACAGAGATTTGAATAATTTCATCAACAGTCTGAGAGGTGAACATCAGTAATTACCGCACATCTCTTACTTCTTTGTTTGAAAGTCTTCAGCAGTGTACATCTGTGTTTCTGTGAAGAATCGCATCCAGAATTGTAATCTTCCAGTATGAACACTACTATTCAGTCATTGCGTTTCATATTCCGAATATACAAGATGAACGAAACAAATGGTCAAAGTAATCAGATGAGCTTTTTACAGAACAGACCATTGGTCTTTAGGTGTACCCTTGTCTAATTTCTATTCATAAATTATCAAATTAATTATCGCT